GATCAGTGTAATAATCATAATGGAGATAGGAGTCAGAATTGTGCTGCTCATAGCTGTGAAGCTTGAGATGTGTTAAAGTGATAAAACCCTACAAGGTCTTGGTTTCAGTGGACACATGTTTCACTTCTCGACTGAAATTCTTCACTGTAGCATATGGAGCATTATTTACAGACCTACTTAAACATAAAGCAGATTCTAAAAATGTTGAACTTTAGACCTTTTTATACTTGCTCTATATGGAACCTGTGTGCGGAATATTTTTAACACCTAACTGTAATCAAAGCTGGCATTCACCAAAGGCCCAATTAATTTACAATCAGGACAAGATCTATACCTTCAAAGGTTCTTCATACAAGTATTGTAACGTGTAACGTATTTCATATTAAGGCAAAAAGTACATAGCTTAGCTGTTATACCAAAAAATAATGAAAGCAAGGAGCAGTAGGCCCGACTAGGCTCATGATGTCGACCACCGACTACTTTGAACTTTGAATAGAGTGGCTTTATGAGTTATCTTGGACAACGAATTAATGCCACCGTTTCAGATATTTAGGCACACGCAGTCATGCATAAAGGACTTAACAGTTACGACTGGACTGCATACTAAAAGGTGAGCGAGCATCTTAATCGGCAAAAGAAATAAGCACCCATACCACTTTCAAACCAAAAAATGCACCTGCTAAGTGTCGGTGTCCTAAAAACTTTGTACACCCCTCCTTAAAACAGTTGAGTTTTAAGTTTTGTCTTACCCTCTCCGTCCTTCTCCTCGCTTGTAATTCCATTATTATTGACTAATCCATTTCGATCTACATCCTCGACAACGAAATTTCCCACAATCTCGTAAAAATGACATTGTTTTCAGGTAATGACACAACGATTAAAGATTTCAACAAATGGCCGCCATGTTGAAATTGTTGGCTGTTACGCTTAATCACCCTCCTCCCTCTGTCGGGCAAAAGCAGAAATATCATTTTAAATTTGTAGCAAAGTTCTTGTCCCAAGATTTAAGCCATCTTCAAGAAATATCTTTAATATTGTTTTTTAGATATCAAATAGATGTAAATGATTAAAAGATGTGAACTTCTTATATGGCTAAAAAATTAAATTGTGTGTCTTGACGGGTGCGTTCAGTTATGAAAAGAGCCAATTGACAATGCTTCACCTTTATGCAGCCACGGTAATTGTAAACTATCGGCAAGCATGAACGGTGGCGCCACATGCCTTAACTAAACAAACCCCACAGGTAGATATAACCATAATTTACTTAACGCTAGAACCTAGCACGGAATAACTCTCGTTGTTTATCTTACTACTTTATGTCGAAAAATAAAACGATAGAAATTAAGGGTATTTATTATTGTTACTTTTCTATCAAACTTTATTTTTTCAACCTAGGGAACCTGTGTGGAATCGATTATCATTCCCATATTAGTATTCATATATTGTATCGATTGTACATATTTCACTGTGTGATACTTAATGATCTCACATATTTGAACTTAAGAAGTATGTTTCTTTGTTTTGATAGGATTATATGTTCAATATAAAACCTCTCTAAGTGCGATAGTGAACTTGGGCAAGGTAAACGCGGAAACAAGAAAGGAAAAAAAAGAAAAACTTTTAAAGAACGTTTATCTGTTCGCTACACGTTAGATTTCATTTTCAATTATCAATCAGTTGTATTGTAAGCATGCATTTAGATAACATCGATTCTTGCTGCTGCGCAAATTTAGGGTTGTTATTAAGTTGTAATATTAATAATTTATATTGGTCTTATTTGAACATGTTCATGGGACTGTATTAACACCAAAAAGTTATTTTGAGACATTATCTGCTTTCAAAAATAATTTGCTTGCGTGATTGATATGAAAAGTACCCCGATCTCTCTCCTCTGAAATAAACTTATTTAACGATAGCAGAACTGAAATTCATCAGCTGAAGATACACAATTCATCTAAATCCCCAAGTGTCTTTTATTTTGCATTTACATAAAGAAATATTTTCATCGACAATGGGCTTTCCAATTTCAAAAATATTCTATATTTTTTTACAGCTCATCCTGCGCCTTTTGTTAAAACTGGCATAAATAAGTATTTTAACATTTAAAATTACTTTAAATCCATTTTCGTTTCATGATTCTTCTATCAAAAAAAAAAAAAAAAAAAAAAAAAATTGAATTTTCAGGTTAAATTTTCAACAGCATTGCTCCATATATGCCTATTTAAATTTAAGTAGCGAACAATATTGTCTTTACAGCTGGTATTGACAACCCTAGAAATGTATTGATTTCAATTAATTCTCAAATTTAAGCTTCCTCATACATTTACCTATTAAATATAGATTAGATCTTTTGGGAGTAGTAAGTAAAGCGTTCACATATGCTCTACCCAAGGGGGAAAATTCGCCTGTTATCGATTAGTTTTTTGGACCGGTAGGTCTATTTTGAACATTTAGAAGACCTGTATTTGACAGAAAATCGAACCCATTTTCCCGTGCAGGTGCTCTTCGCGTGGGTTATGATTTTCTCGTTGGATTGAATTTTGCGCAATTTTAAGAAGGTTAACGGAATGGTAAACTAATATTCGATCTTACAGCGAAAGTTCGTTGTTCACAATGAGTTACGGGCAGTTCTATTCTATTGTCGAGATGCAAAATCGACAGAAAATGACCCCATAACATCTAAGTTCGGTAAAAGGAAGCAGGCCTCTAAAAATACTAAAGCAAACACAGTTGGTTTCTAAATGATAGATGTTCTCAATTATTTAAAATTCTACCCAGAGCCGTCTTTTTAGTCTTGTATACACTTCTCATTTTTATTCAAAATGTTTACACGCTGCCTGCTTGTTGATGAAAATTACGCTTTTAATCCGCTTATCTGTACATCAATATTCCAAGACTCAGTTTCTCGGAGATGATCGCCACAACAGGGAACAGCTTGTCTAGATGCGTGTGTGTGTGTGTGTGTGTGTGTGTGTG